TTTATTTTCTTTATACCTCGAATAGAACTTAAAATTAATATTTTTATAATAAGGAACTTCGTTTCTATCCGGTGTCCCACGACACAACACACCTTTTTTTTTAAATTTTGAATGAAATAATGAAATTGTTGTCGCAATTATTTTTATTGTAAAATGTACCTTTCTCAGTTCTTCTGAGTAGGGGGTAGTTTTTATTACATACCTGGGTGATTGAGCTTACGTCTCATCTGTTATTCGGTGGTTCCCAGGACCCATAGAAATCACAGTGAAAATGTCGCAAGCTGTAACCCCAAAGCTTCGCAGTCTAAATTGTCAAGGTGGTGAAACTCACCCGTACAGACTTCCAAATATGCCGTACCACCAGTAAATACGATTTTATTGCCAACACGACCACATTATAATTCAAAATTTAAAAAAGTCACGTGTTCCGATAGGTATGCTTTACATCGCAGGCAATTTTTTAGTTGATTTCCCTTTACATTGCTGGTCGCTAAAATATAAACACATATAATAACATATTTATATTTAGTAAATGATTATTGATTTCTGTTGCTTTTTGGTTAATAATCAATAAGTGAATGTTGCAATCTATCTCCAAATTTCAATTGCATTACTAACTGGCGAACCCTTCAAGCCGGAATACATTAGAGTCGTCAGAAATAGGCAATGTGTTGGTAAGTAGGTAGCACATACGTGTGCTGGGTCACAAGAGGTCCTCGAAATTATCCAGTAATTACGCCAAAAAGATTTGCGGGGTTAATTATATTACACGACGTTATTCCTTCATCGTGGGAGTCAGTGAAGTGTAATTAGTAGATATGTTCTTACAAGGTCCAATATCAGGAAGGTAAGACCACGCATATTCTATTAGTGACCAATTCATTGATATCCTTGGCCGGATAAAAAAGATTTCGAAAAGTATTTGAACGCATGAGTTCCAATCTCTCATTTTTAATCGTACAATGGCTACTCCACCCTTCAAACCGAAACGCATTACTGCTTCACCGCAGGAATAGGCAGGGTGGTGGTACCCACCCGTGCGGACTCAAAAGACGTGCTACCACCAGTATTTTCGTCTCGTGCGGTGTTAATGTGCCGGTGTTCAAATCCCACTGCCCAAATAAACATTGTTGTTTTTCTCGCATTTTCTATTAGTGACCAATTCATTAATATCCGTGGCCGGATAAAAAGGGTGCGTGTACTTATGTACGCGCGTAAGAAGTTATACTTTATTTTTATTAAATTTATTTCTTTTTTATTTTTAAATTTTAATCAATTTGAAAAAAAGCGATTAAACAACATCCTCAAACACGCATATTGGACACCCCTTTTCTTAACATCGTATAAATTCGGTAATTCTCGGTACGGTTCGGAAAGTTCACCTGCGACTATATTCAGACTCGCCAAGTTACGTCGGTCGTATTGTAATGAGCGATTTAGTGGGCAACTTCATTCTGTTAATTTTGTGTCACGGTGCGCGCGCATCGTAAAATTTCACTCTCATCAGTTTTTCATAACGCGCCTAAAGAAGTATAACTTCAAAAATATTGTGGAGCTATTCCGAAAAAAATTCGATCAACTGACTAACTTATTTAGCGCGATGGACTAACATGCGTACACAATATTTACAACACAATATTTAATTCATTTCATCATCTAATGCACCGTTAAGTTCCGGACTGAAAGCTCAAAGCGCAAACAATGTAAAGTCGGCTTTATATTTAGTGCACACAAAGCGCTGAGCATAATAAGTCTGCCGCTATAGAAAGTCATTGTTGGCCACCTTGAGGCCTATTTAAGGTATCTGGGTTATCGAGTTCCGTACACTACAATGCGTTGACGTCAAACTCGTCCTGTCTAGGGCTGGCGCGAGTGTTTCGTTATTATAACAGCTGTAGAACTAATGTAGTACTAATCATACGCTGTAGCCTAGCCCTAGATAGCGGTATGTTATAGTGGTAGAGGAAGTAAAATATCTGTAACAGCAATCGGATCCTACATAAATCCTATTTCGAAGACATTATTCAACACTATTGAAGACAGCTGAGACAATGTCCTGTATATATATTTACTGGTGGTAGGACCTTTTGTGATTCCGCACGGCTAGGTACCACCACCCTGCCTATTTCTGCCGTGGAGCAGTAATGCGTTTCGGCTTCGGGGGTTGGGCAGCTGTTGTAACTATACTGAGAGACCTTAGAACTTATATTTCAAGGTGGGTGGCACATTTACGTTGTAGATGTCTATGGGATCCAGTAACCACTTAACACCAGGTGCACCGTGAGCTCGTCCATCTAAGCAATAAAAAAAATTCTCAAAAGCATTAGCTACGTTGTGTATTTATTGGTTTAGACGATCACCTAATATTAGGCGGATTTTAAACTCCTACACATATTAATAATATTAAAAAAGACCTCTGTACTGTTTGCTTAATGATTAATTATGATCGCGATGCAACCCTAACTATTTCCGTATTCGCGTTTACATTGAAATGTTACCCGTACATTGAATGTTATGTTTGAAACACAATTTGCATAAAACAATTTATAATGCTATTGTATAGTCTTCTATTAATATGTGACATCTGAATGCGTATTCATATTATACATTGAGATCGGTAAGGGAAGGCAAAACAATAAAGGGTAGGTGTATTGCATATATCTTATCTCAGTCAGTACTTATTGACAAATCTTGGATGAAAAACAAATGTAGCTAAAATGCTGGNTGTTTGAAACACAATTTGCATAAAACAATTTATAATGCTATTGTATAGTCTTCTATTAATATGTGACATCTGAATGCGTATTCATATTATACATTGAGATCGGTAAGGGAAGGCAAAACAATAAAGGGTAGGTGTATTGCATATATCTTATCTCAGTCAGTACTTATTGACAAATCTTGGATGAAAAACAAATGTAGCTAAAATGCTGGTGTTTCCAGATTCGGTTGTTATTTATATATTTATGTTAATTATGCGTCCGGAATAAATAAAAGTAACTAGGCCCTGAACTCTTTCTAAACGAATGAACTCTTTCCAAAACTCTATAAACACGTTTTGCGATATTGTAGAAATAACGACGAAGAGAAGATCTTCCATCGAGCGGGTAATGTTGCTCGGTAGACCGACGGTCCGAATTTTGTTGTTCGAAACTTGAATATATGCAAGCTTAACTTGAAAATGTCGTAAGCGAGATTCAGGCATCTGTCAAATATTTTGTGTTCTATGCTACCTCCTGACCAAAAAAAAAATGCTGTAGCTCCAACTGGGTTCCCGCCCGGTATGGGGTAGGGCGCCGGTTGTGAGCGGCAGGAGTTTTTAGTGAGGTTCGACTCCCACATATCCCACCTGCCGTGCGGGTGGGGATCCGGCGATTTTCTCATGTGGAAAAAAAAAAAACCGCCACAACGACAATAAGAATGCACGCCGTACTCATATTGAGCGATGCGACCGTGCTTCTATTCAGATCTCGCAGAACCGATTTCTCTAACGAAATGTGTATTAGATACATGTTCAAGAATGACTTCTACTATGTAGGTATAATATCGGGATATAAAAATCAAAACCGACCACCGTTTGGGGCGAGAGATCGTTAACTCATCCATTTAGTATTAAAATAAAATAAAATGCTATATACCTACAACATAATGCGTAGTTATCGTTGTTCGATCTTCTTGTTTGTAAAGCTACGCAACAATTCTCGTAAAAATAATCAAAAAAGCGATTCTATCTGAGCATAATTTAAATTCAGTTGTTAAAAAATAAAATTTATATTTTTTTGAGTGATTGTAAAACGTTAGAAATGAAATATTGCTTCGTTAGTTGTTTTTTTTTTAAGTTTTATTATTGGAACGAAGTTCCTTACGGCGGGCTTGGAGGAAATAGGGATTTTGTTGCGCGACCGAACTGAAAAAAATGTGATAGTAAAAACCGTAAGAAAAAGTCCGTGGAATAATTGTTTTCCGCACAGCGGTATTTCACTCCGCGATTTTTTTTTCTAATTCTTTTTTTTTTTATGGAACTTCGTTCCTATCCGGTTTCTCACGACACCATACACATCTTTTTTCTGTAAAATTTTTATTCATTAAGTGAACCGATATAAAGTTTTTATTTGTGTACATAACGGAAGGGTGTTGGAAATACACAAATGTCACAGGAAAGTCTAAGTTGTCGTGGCCTAGAGGATAAGACGCCCGGTGCCTTTTTTTTATATAGCTTAGATGGGTCGACGAGCTCACTGCTCACCTTGTGTTATGTGGTTAGCGGAACACATAGACGTCTATAACGTAAATTCCGCCATCACCCACCCATGAGTTTACCAGTAAATATGTAAATTAGATTTTTTGCGGATTCGATTGTTATTACACGGTGTTATTTCTTTACCATGGAAGTCATTTGTGAACATTTGTTAGGTACATAATTATTTCATTAGACAACTTGGTACCTGCGGGATTTGAACACCAGTATATTAACACCTCACATACATAAATATTTAAAAAATTACCTTAAAGTCTCGATTTCAACTAAATCAGACCCTTCCAGCCAGAACGCACTGTAGCTTCGTTGTAGACAACAGCCGCTGATAGTAACGGCTGTTGAGTTGAGTGACTATTGGAGTCCCTGGACATTACCACTTGGATACCGCCCCCTACCTTGAGAAACGAGATTGAAGAATTTAAGCCGGGATGCATGACTGCCTTGCCATAGAAATGAAAGACTATTTAGTTAAATAGAAATAAACTTTTATAATGCTACCTTGCTACTTATTAATAACAGTAACTTGGCTACTGATAGTCAAAGTTTATAGCATAATTATCTTATAGTCAAATCTCTCAATATCCATAGAAATGACATTAAAATATTATACTTTGGTCAATTTTTTATTCTTAATTAATTCGGGACTTGAAGCTGTTTTAAAAGACTAAGCAGTATACCCTCTTAATGCACTAAGTACGCACAGTTGAATAGAATATGTTTACCAGGTACTGAAGATTAAATCGTAGGTAGCCAAATTCTCAAACAAAATAATCCTGAAATTCAACGTTTGAAGCAGAACAAAAGCCTTCAACTTTACATCCTTAAACAGCGTATGCGCCAAAAATGTGTATTGCAAAGAGGAACTTGAACACACGGATTTAAGTGTTATCTGTATTGACAATGACGTGAGTGTCATATCCAAGATGGCGATGGTTATTTCCCAGACGACAAAAGCGGCAATTGGCGGGTTTTTAGCTTTAATGATCCTTGGTGCTGTGCTAGTTGTCGGAGCCGCTTTCGGGTGGTTCGACCCGAAAAGAGAAGATGAGGATACGCCTGCAAAGATCAGCGCTAGATTGCAGGGGAGGACCTCGTTCGTCACGCATAGAGCGGTAAGTAGACTTGTTTGTTTTTAAACTGCCATTATAATGTTACACGGTTTGCTCTGTAGCTACAATGGCCTTGCACTTTTATCTGCCGTGAAGCAGTAATGCGTTTCGGTTTGAAGGGTGGGGCAGCCGTTGTAACTATACGTGAGACCTTAGAACTTATATCTCAAGGTGGGTGGCGCATTTACGTTGTGGATGTCTATGGGCTCCAGTAACCACTTAACACCAGGTGGGCTGTGAGCTCGTCCACTCATCTAAGCAATAAAAATAAAAAAATGCCTTTGAGATCCTGTTCATATTTTTAAGTGATTTCAATGTCACAATCATTCATGTATTGTAGAATAAGCCAGCAAAAAATACGTTATACGTTAAAATTCGGATAAATAGTCATTTTATTAATTTCTATGTGTCTGAAAAACAGAAGGTAAGTAGCACAATGGACAACATCTTTACATTAACCGTAACTACGAGTATTATAGTATTACAGATTATGAGTATGGATATTTTAAATTCTCTCTCTCTCTTTGTTCAGATCGTTTATAATAAATCATGCAATGTTTTATTTATTGCAAAGACGAATGTCCGAGTTTAAATTCCAAGGGAAAACAAAACTGTTTCGCAGCAGAATAAAACAGGACGCTAGTACTTATCCGAGCGGGCATTTTTTTTTTCTTTTTTTTCCTACCTATGCCTTGAGAGGCTATGTCAGCTTACCCTAGCGTGTGTAGGTGAGCTCACGGGGCTCAAACCGGAGAGTTGCTAACACTGACCCTAGCAAGAGCAGTGCTTCGCTGAATCTACCACCGGATCGAAAACGCGACCCACTGAGAAGATCCGCCGAGAAACTCAGTGGGCTGTGTCTGTGGGTTAATTCGCTCGTCGAGTCCTTCGTCGCAAGCGACGGGTTCGACGAGGACAGTGACCGGAGTGCAGGCATGCTACGCGCTCGCTCCCAAGTAAAATCATTTTACTTCTAAACATAAATTCGATCTAGGCTTTTAGTAAATTTTAAACGAGAGTTACAAGCTCAGTTCAGAAACTAAGCCAAAACTTATTGAGATATTTGCTTAACGTTTAAAGTCTGAAACTAATTCAAATAAGACTAATTTATTAAGCTCCCGTTGAATCACTAGAATTTCAATTAGTCTCTTTAATAAATTTAGATAGAAGAAAAGCGTGAAAATCTCCTCTCGACGTCGTGGCCTAAAGGATAAGATGTCCGTTGCATTCGTATCTAGCGATGCACCGGTGTTCGAATCCCGCAGGCGGGTACCAATTTTTCTAATGAAATACGTACTTAACGAATGTTCACGATTGACTTCCACGGTGAAGGAATAACATCGTGTAATAAAAATGAAACCCGCAAAATTATAATTTGCGTAATTACTGGTGGTGGGACCTCTTGTGAGTCCGCACGGGTAGGTACCACCGCCCCGCCTATATCTGCGGTTAAGCAGTAATGCGTTTCGGTTTGAAAGGTGGGGCAGCCGTTGTAACTATACTGAAACCTTAGAACTTATATCTCAAGGTGTGTGGCGCATTTACGTTGTAGATGTCTATGGGCCCCAGTAACCACTTAACACCAGGTGGGCTGTAAGCTCGTCCACCCATCTAAGCAATAAATAAAAAAATTAGATAGGAGAAAATCGTGAAAATCTCCGCTCGACCATGTACGGTAGCATTTAGGAAGATTCTGAAATGATAGAGCGTTGCTTGAATCTCTCACGTTTCCTCGCTTAACAATTTTGTATGCTGCCCTAAATTGAAGCCGCTAATTTAAATGAAATTACATTTTAATTAGCATAAATAACAAAAGGTATTATTTTTTTAGACAGCGGTCTCGCGTTTTTTTATTATTCAACGTGATTTCGTTTCGTGCCTGACTGGATGGTGCAGTAATTAGCACCTCTGACTGTTGCGCCGAGGGTCGTGGGTTCGATTCCCACATCGGACAAACTGTGTGTGATGAGCAGATTTCTTAGCTCTTTGTCTGGGTACTTATTATCTGTACATGCTGGTGGTAGGACCTCTTGTGATTCCGCACAGGTAGGTACCACCACCCCGCCCATTTTCTGCCGTGAAGCAGTAATGCGTTTCGGTTCGAAAGGTGGGGCAGCCGTTGTAACTACTTTGAGACCTTAGAACTTATATTTCAAGGTGGGTGGCGGCATTTACGTTGTAAATATCTATGGGCTCCGGTAACCACTTAAGATCAGGTGGGCTGTGAGCTCGTCCACCCATCAATGCAATAAAAAAAACATGTATGTATATCAACGTATATAAGTACGTTTTTGGTACCCATTAGGGAATCCTAAATTGGGGATGGATGACCATGTGTGATTTGTTCTCAATTAGTATCATTATTAATATGAGCTTCTTAAAATCACATCAATAAATTGAGTTTTAATTTGGAAATTTCGAATATAATATCCCTCACTTTAGTTTGTCATTTAATTTATATCCCAACATTTTTCTCGCAACTTATTACGGACGCAAATGCTTTTGAGAATCATATAAATAAATGTTTTGCGTAGTTTCAGGGTTTTTTTGCAATTATACGCACTTCTGTTTTTATTAAACAATTGCATTTGAGAAAAAGAAATCGTGTGCAAATAAGTAAGCGTGGTAGAATTTTCTGGAAACGTGGCGACCTGTTTAAAAGAGACTAATTGATGGAGTGACAGTAGCAGGCTATGCAGGCCTAGATCTCTCAACTTCAATCGCAAATACTTATAATCCCATCCCCTCACAAGATAACAAAAATATTGTTTTTAACTTGTACCACGTCCTATGGCTAAACGAAATAACATTTCCATATCAAAACTGACATATGAAATTGACGTTGATCGCGGTCGTACAGATCCTGAAACCGCTATTTACGTGATGGACGCTAAAAGTGATCCCAATTTTGAAAATTGACAATTAAAAATAAGACCGGTTTGAGGTGGACTTATGTATGAATCGGTTAGTAGTAATAGTAGTAGTAGTAGAAGTAGAAGTTGCGGCTTAAAGGGCAGCTTTTACACAATACAATGCAGACATCGTGATATTGACAACCAGACCTCACGTCTCAAAGTCGACCAGTCTCCAGTAGCCGCTCGATACCAGCTGTATCGCGAGCTGAAGGATATAAGTAATTATAAATATTTACAAACAATTTCCTATTCTCTATTTGATTTTCTTCTCTCTTCCCGTTTCGGTTTCCTAAATGCCTCAATGGTCGTGACCACCGCCCAGCAAGAAAAGTTTTTTCTAGATCGTTCTACGCCATGAATGAATTTAAATTGAAAATGTTTTTGAAGATTTTTTCTGTCCAGTGACCGATGTTCAATTTTATTTTTATTCATTTAAAAAACAATTTCTTTACCATACAAATCATTCGTGACCCGCACGTGCTAAGGTATTAGATACCTAGACGTATATTTGATAATTTGCTACCTGCTGGCTTAGTTAGTGGAAGGAAAGAGGGCAAGGTGGCGTAGTCCCATGCGCTGGTCCGATCAAATTAAGACGACATTGGACTCCAGCATCAATGTCACTATCCAGTGCGCAGAGGACAGAAAGAAAGTGGAGGAACAGTCCGAACAAAAGTACTCTATAAAGGTTACGATCCTCAGCACTGAGGAACACGATGCAACGAGGAAGAGATTCAGTTAATTAGAATAAGACCAGAACACCGGTACTAGACCGTGAATATTTCGGAATTGTTAAGCATAAATTAAGCTCTTCTATAGAGAGTCAACGTAAGCAAATAAAGGGAACGAAAGGGATTTCTTCATCACGATAGGGTGCATGCTCAATAATAATTTGGCTTTTCGCACTGTCCCATTTCATGTTTCGGGTGTCAATACATTTGAAAAGAAACCCTTTATAGTTTTAGTCGAGTCACGCCCAGATCTGAAGCATGGCTAAGGTTTTGGAGTCAATACATATAAATAATTCATATGGATACAGTCGGACTGATATTGAAACAACCCCAATTCTTGCATTATTTTTATTTGGGAATTCTTAAGGCGAAGTTTGCCATGCCAATTTTTATTAGGTTTTTTTTATTATTTCCAATTGAGTTCTGAATTTATTCTGTTACTTTGCTATCGTATAAAGTACTTAAGTATCAGAAAATAAACAGAATGTACGTAAGATGACAAATTCGTGAGGTGATTAAGCAATCTACCACTAAAATCCTTTGGCACTTGAAATTCTAGCATCGGATTCCTGCTAAACCATTAGAACAAAAGAGAAAAGCGGCATCGTTCCTTCAAGTCATCTGGTTTCCCTCATTCCATGGAAAGCCCAGCCTTTTCGTTTGGTGAGAAATACGGACTCCGTAGATGTGGTACATAGTTAAGTCAAAATAAAAATCAAGTAGCTGTTTTACTGAAATTTGTCATATTAAACGAAGAAGAGTTACTATCATGACAATCCATGACCATTCTACTGTACGGCTACCCCACTCTTTACGCATTACTGCTTGACAGCAGAAATAGGCAGGGTGGTCTTACCAGTGCGGGTTCACAAGAAGCCATACCTTCAGTCCGAAGGTGTGCGAATGCTTTGTCTCCTAGTGGTTCATTTACAAGAGGCGCGCAAAGAGATACCTCCTGGTCACCGTCAGTCTTGCCATCGATTTTCAAATTGAACATGAGGGTAGCCTGAATCACTTAAATGCTGAAACAAAATAGCCCTTCTCACGCTTCATCGACTCTTCTTTCTATCTCTCTCTCTTTTCTACGAGACATTGCAATAAGTTTGGTATCAAGAGAATTCTGCTTCAGCAATATTCGACATTTACTCAGCAATTGACATTTTAAGTAGACCCGATCAAAGCAAGATATACATCGAAATTTCTCAGTAGAATTGAAAATAAATACAACTAGTTTTTTTTTAAGTGTGGGCGTGAATCGTTTTCGCATAAAACTCTCAATCAATTCAAGAAAATCACAAACAAACTAACGTCAGTCACAGCATTTAAAAATATAATGATACATTTTTAACGAAACACG